ATTGTACTCATGTATTGCACCACCTTGATTGCCCCCATCGATCGCACAATGTAGATTGTATCACATAGGTCGCACCGCAACTATTGCACAACATCGATTGCATAACAGATCGCACCACATATGATTTGATGCACCACATACATTGCTCCACATACATTGCACAACACAGATATTGCTAGAAAAACACTGTGAGGCGCCCTCGCTGGCGAATAGACCATAAGAACTTCTTGAGAAGGTTGGCTTCAGTAAGGCCTCCTGGGGAACACATCCTCTAGCAAAGACCCCTTAGTCGCGCACCCAATCGGTGGGGGGGGGGGGGGGCGAGAAAAAAACGGTTCGTTTTTGCTGCGTTTATTGTTTGTTCTGCCTACGCCCCCATCCTCCCTGCGAGCCCCTTCAATGCTCCAGGGCATTCCACTGCACTCTAAACACTTCTAGAGCCAACTTGAAGACTCCTGGAACCTGCAAGAGCATTACAAGCCATCCGAGGCCGTGCTCGCTCGGCTCTCCGTGAATATGAATCGAGAAGCATTCACGGAAGGGCTCGAGCGACGAGACCGCGGAAGGAGACCGCCATTCGACTGATCTGAGCATCACGAGAGTGTGAGCTCAGATCAGTCGAAGTTTGTGAACATGTTTCTTGTACTCTCGCGCGCGACTGAGGAGGATGATGGGCATAATTAGTAGATGATGAGAGGAGGAGGAAGATGAAGAGGAAGCGGAGGAGAGCCACATGTTGAAAACGACCGGACATCCATATGTATAGCAGCTGGTAGGTTTAAGAACGAATGTGCGCGGCGCTGAGACGACAACCACATGTTGAAACGACTGGCCCTCCACCCGTGTATCCATTGGACATGTTGAACCCGCAGGAACATGAGCCGAACGGAAGTCCCAAGCGAAACGCCCGGCCCCGCCAACGGAAACGTCGTGTGCTGCGACAGGGAGGGGATGCTTGCAAGAGGGATGGACCACCACAACACGCACGGCCTCCTCCGCCACCCCCAAAGCTGCAGCACTCCGCTGGCGGCCTTCGCGCAGCACGGAGTGCCGCTGCAGTTGTTGGCACCCATCGCCGCCAGCCCTCGAAGCGCGCTCGGCCGCAGCGACGACGACGAACGACGACGAACGACGACGACGACAACGGGCGGCGACCGATGACCGACAGCGACCGAAGGCGACCGACGACGAAGTCGACGACGACCGACGACGACCGATTACCAACGAACGACGACGACGATCGTGACGACGACGACGACGACGACGAACGACGACGGACGGCGACCGACGATGGATGGCGACCGACAACCGACAACAATCGACAACGACCGCCCACGACCGACGACGACGGCCGACGACGACAACGACGACGACGCAGACGACGACGAAGACGACCACGGCGACCACGACGACCGCGACGACGACGCCGAACGACGCCGAACGCCGACGCTAACGCCGACGACGACTCACGACGACGACGACTCACGACGACTCACGACGACGACCACGACGACGACGACGACGACGACGACCACGACGACGACGCCGAAGACGACCGACGGCGACGGGAGGCGACCTGAAGCGCGCGGTCTCGCCGGTGCACCGCGGCCGGGCTGGGCCGCCGATCCTCGAAGACGGCGTCGGGGGCAGGGCGTCGGGCTCGGCGGGGCACCGCGGCGGGGGCGGGCCGCCAGGTCAGCACGAGGCTCCCGCTCTTCCCAGACCCCCTCGAGTAATGAAAAAATCACGACGGGAGGTTTTTCGCCATTTTCGGCCTCTGGGAGCCCTCACCGGGCTTCGGGAGCGTCAGAAAACGACTCAGGACGAGGAACCGGTCCCCGGGAATGGGTCGGGACCTCTAGGGGTCGCGTCATGGAAAAATCATGACGTCGGGGGTCTGGGTTCTCTGATCTCTGGCAGAACCTGAACGCACAAGCTGCGCTGGCCGATTGAACCTGCCACGGGTGAGATTGCAAGGCTGCACGGCCGACGCGGTGGGTTCAATCTCATGAATGCAGAACAAGACAGGACAGGGCAGGATGCGTTCGAAAAAGAACAAGCGCCAAAACATAAACTTGTGGCGCCCCGCGCGGATTTCTTGGATCCGCGCTGGGCCCCCCCGGCGGCGCCTCTGGCGCCGCTCCTGGCGCGCTTCGTGCGCCAGGGAGGGGTGTCCAGCGCAGATCCAAGAAATCCACGCGGAGCGCCAAACGTTTATGTTTATTGCGTTTTTCTTCTTCAATGAGTTTTCCCTCTCGACGACACGCAAGAGGGAACCTAAGCAAGAGTGACCTCTGATGCGCGGCTTTACAAAGCCGCTGGGGGGGGGGGGGGGGCCAAATCCCTGCGCAGGCCAGGGCTCGGGGGAACCCAGTGGGCCTGCACCAAAGGTCACTCCAGCGAGGGGCCGGGCCACTCTTATGCGCAGCCGGCACTCTCGTTGATCCTGTCCCTCGCGTCCCTCTCGTCGCCCCCCCCGCCCAGGAATCCCAGAGGCCCCAGACCGCCAGGATTGGGAATCACTGGCGTCCGAGCGGTGTGCCTTCAGAGCAGGAGCGCGGCAGAGCCACAGGAAAGCGCGGCAGTGCCGGCGTGGCTCCGCGCACGAGTCCGGTGCTCCAGCGAGCACGAGCACACGAGAACCCCAGGACAGCGAGGCATTGACAGTGTGGCTCGGCATCCACACCGTGGCCGGGGAGCCCCCGCGACATGTCCACGAACGTGGGGCGCCCAGGTGATGATGCAACGCCGCTGGGCATCTAGGCTGCGGCAAGCGGCCAGCGACATCGATTGGCCAAGACCGACGCCAGGCAGGGCTGCGCACGGCGTCTTTGGCAGAGCACGTCATGCTTCCTGCCCACTGGGGCGCCCCAGCTGTCTCTTCCAGGGCTGCTGGGCGCCTGTCGCGACGGGGCGTGATGTGACAGCACGGTGCGCTTGTTTGAGGATGGCATCCCCACCGGTGAGCGGCCAGAGAGAGCAGAGGACAGAAGTCGCGCCAAGAGCCCTGAAGTCCCACCAGCCCTTTAGGGCGTGAGTGGTTTAGCGAGCCCCCTCTGTCCTCAACCCCCCAACCCCCTTCTTCCCCTTCGGGGAGGGGTTTACCCCTCCCCCTACCCCCTCCCCCTGGGTCTGGAGAGGGCGTCCCGCGGGTCGTTGGAGGGGTCTTTTTCGACTCCTGGGAGGGCTAAAAAACGACACCCCTCACGAGGATTCTGGCCCCGTCGGGGGGATACAGAAAAAACCCTCTCTCCTCTTCTGTGAAGCCAAAATCATTGATTTTACTACTGTTTCGGCCCCATTTTGGCCTCCCGAGGGGGCCGCGCTCATCTTCCTTCATAGCAAAATCATTGATTTTACGAAGGTTCTGGCCCATTTTGTCCTTCTCAGGGGGCAGCGCTTCTTTGCGCTTCTGAGGAGGTCACACGAGGCCCCAAGATGGCCCCAAGAGGCCCCCAGGAGGCTCCCAAGAGGCCTCCAAGAGGCCCCCAAGAGGCCCCCAAGAGGCCCCAAGAGGCCCCCAAGAGGCCCCCAAGAGGCCCCCAAGAGGCCCCCAGAGGGCCCAGGAGGCCCCCAAGAGGTCCCCAAGAGGCCCCCAAGAGGCCCCCAAGAGGCCCCAAGAGGCTCCAAGAGGCCCCCAAGAGGCCCCACGAGGAGCCCGAACGACTCACACCAGGACGAGGGGCCCGAACGACTCACACCACGAAGAGCCCGAACGACTCACACCACAAGGAGGGGCCCGAACGACTCACACCAGGACGAGGCGCCCGAACGACTCACACCACGAGGAGCCCGAACGACTCACACCACGACGCGGGCCCCGAACGACTCACACCACGAGGAGCCCGAACGAGTCACACCAGGAGGAGGGGCCCGAACGACTCACACCAGGATGAGGGGCCCCAAGAGGCCCCCAAGAGGCCCCCAAGAGGCCCCCAAGAGGCCCCCAGAGGCCCCAGGAGGCCCCCAAGAGGCCCCCAAGAGGCCCCCAAGAGGCCCCCAAGAGGCCCCAAGAGGCTCCAAGAGGCCCCCAAGAGGCCCCACGAGGAGCCCGAACGACTCACACCAGGACGAGGGGCCCGAACGACTCACACCACGAAGAGCCCGAACGACTCACACCACAAGGAGGGGCCCGAACGACTCACACCAGGACGAGGCGCCCGAACGACTCACACCACGAGGAGCCCGAACGACTCACACCACGACGCGGGCCCCGAACGACTCACACCACGAGGAGCCCGAACGAGTCACACCAGGAGGAGGGGCCCGAACGACTCACACCAGGATGAGGGGCCCGAACAACTCACACCACGAGAAGCCCGAACGACTCACACCAGGACGAAGAGCCCGAACGACTCACACCACGAAGAGCCCGAACGACTCACACCAGGAAGAAGGGCCCGAACGAGGACGGGAGGAAGGAGGAACAAGGAGGAGAAGGAGGAACAGGGGAGATATGCGGGGCCAAACGGACACATGCCTGAAAAACACGACTGTCGGCATGCTTCGCATGAGTTGCTGTTGTGAGATGGGCTGGTGGGGATACGCGAAGCGTAAAGAATTCCACTCCATGAGATCCGACGCTGCGGGAAAAAAAACTGCGGCATCGCGACAGCTCACCATCGGGGCCCTGCAGACCCAGCCTCCCTGCCGCATCTCTTCCGACCCGAATCGACCTGCGATGGCCCCGGGGCCCGAGAGTCGGGCGCACGCGCCCATGGAGGGGGAACAAAAATGCAGCGCCCGGGTCTCGAAGTTGGTCGATACCTGGCCATCGCTCGGACGTCCATTCCCTGTGCTTTTTTCGGCTCCGTGCGTGGTTTTTCGCCAAATCATCAAGGATGCTCCTCGATGGTCCTCGCCGAAGGAGAGGTGCACACGTCCGAGCGATGCCAAGACACGGCGACGCCGGGACACGACGGCTGGCGGTCGGGCCGCGCGGAGGCCGCACCTCTGCCGGGGCCCGGCGGCGCCGGGCGCAGGCGGCGCGGGCCGAGCTCTCACGCGCTGGCCCCGAGCGTCGCCAGGTCGGCGGCGTCGAGGTGGAAGTCCTGCGCGAGGGTCCCTCTCCATGGAGGAGGAGGAGGAGGAGGAGGAGGAGGAGGAGGAGGAGGAGGAGGAGGAGGAGGGGGAGGAGGAGGAGGAGGAGGAGGAGGCTCTCTCTCTCCATGCGCCCCCAGGCCCATGCCTCTCGGGTCGGCCGAAGGGGGGGGGGGCAGCAGCAAGGAGAGGGCTGGCGAAGCGCCTCGAGCTTCTCGGCGCCCCACGGCGCCACGGGCGCCAGTGCGACGAGGAGTGCAGCGCCGGGCGGCGGGGCGGATCCCGGTGCGCCGTGCACCAGACTTCGTGAATCCCTCTTCCCTGCCTCAGCCTCGGGGCGCGTGAGATTTCGAAGGCTGCGCTCTGGCAGCGGCGGGCAGCAGCGATGTCATGGGGGCACCGCGCCTGGGTCGCCAGCTTCCGTGGCGGTCAGGTCCTCTTCCCTCTTCCTCCCTGGTCGCACTCTTCTCCCCACCTCCTCCCCCGCCTCGGGGGCGTCCAAGAGGGGGGTGTGCAACTCATGGCCCGAGGCCTCTGCGCGGACCAGGGGGGCGGCCAGGGAACGCATTGCACAATGAAGAGAGGCCATGAGATCTAGGGGGATGTCATGACCCTGGCCATATATCCCCCCCCCCTGTTCCCCCCCCCCCTTGGCCGCCCCCGATCGCATCCCCCCCCCTCGCCCCCGCACCTCCGACGGCGGCCTCGCCGCCGCCCTCCCCAGCGACGCCCGAGGTATCGCCCGCGGGCGGAACAAAAACGACAGAGTGAGGTTGACCGGCGGCTGCTGCTGTGGAAGTGGCCGATGTCAGGACCACAGGCTTGCATCACAGATGCTGAGAGGAGGCCTCGTTTCCCCCTTTTTGGGCCTCCTCGTCGAAACCGCTGGATTCGCCCCGACATCCTGGTCAGAACGCAGCCTGGGAGAGGTCGGGGGAGTAACGGTACGATTACCTCTTGGTCTCCCCCGATACGGTGGTGTTCGTCACAGGTACTAGCCGGCCGCTCTGCGGTTGATCGGGAGTTTCTTTATATAGAAGAAGGTGCGTGCGCCTGTTGGCGAGGGTGAGGATGAGGTTCCTCCTCCTCCTCCTCCTCCTCCTCCTCCTCCTCCTCCTCCTCCTCCTCCTCCATCCTTCTCTTGCCTCCGTCTGTCCTCCTCCACCCCACAGCTCCATCATCTTCTCCTCCTCCTCCTCCTCCTCCTCCTCCTCCTCCTCCTCCTCCTCCTCCTCCTCCTCCTCATTCCTCCTCTGGGCACCTCCCCCGGGGCGCGGATCCACCGGATCTGTCCGGATCTGTCCGGAAACGGTGCCGGAGGCCGCTCTGGGCTCCTCTGGGCACCTCCCCCGGGGCCGGTTTTGTGAGGATGTCTCAAGCGAGGGCGCCGGTTTGGGATTCGTCGGCGGATCCACCGGATCTGTCCGGAAACGGTGCCGGAGGCCGCTCTGGGCTCCTCTGGGCACCTCCCCCGGGGCCGGTTTTGTGAGGATGTCTCAAGCGAGGGCGCCGGTTTGGGATTCGTCGGCGGATCCACCGGATCTGTCCGGAAACGGTGCCGGAGGCCGCTCTGGGCTCCTCTGGGCACCTCCCCCGGGGCCGGTTTTGTGAGGATGTCTTAAGCGAGGGCGCCGGTTTGGGATTCGTCGGCGGATCCACCGGATCCACCGGATCCAGTCTGTCCGGAAACGGTGCCGGAGGCCGCTCTGGGCTCCTCTGGGCACCTCCCCCGGGGCCGGTTTTGTGAGGATGTCTCAAGCGAGGGCGCCGGTTTGGGATTCGTCGGCGGATCCACCGGATCCACCGGATCTGTCCGGAAACGGTGCCGGAGGCCGCTCTGGGCCCCTGTGCTCCCCACGCCGGGGGTGAGGATGACGGTACCCTGACTCCGGATCCGCGGTACTTTGGGCGATGTCCAAAGTAGGGCGGAAATTTCCGCACTACTTTTTAAGCTCCTCGGAGGCCGATTTCCGCATTACTTTTCCGTCGCTGTTTCCTCCCTGCCTTTAGTGGCTGTGAGCCTTAATTTATGGTGGGTTCGTGGCCAAGGGTGCGCGGTGGGAAACCTGCGCGCTTTATGGCTCCGGCGTCATTCACACATCTCGCTACATTTTGGTGCCACACGGTCGGGCCGCCATGCGGACCCTGCCGCTCAGGCGGCCTCAGTGAGGCCTTCGGCGGAACTGCCTACGAGGCCACGAAGCTTGTGAGGGGTATGCCGAAATGGGGCGGGGCCTCCATGCGGACCCTGCCACCAGGGCCTTCTTTGGAGTTCCTTACCGCAGGAAATTGACCACCATGCGCGGGGCAGCGGCGGGTCGCGGGGCGGATCAGGGGCGGGTCGCGGGGCAGGTCGCAAGTGGGTCGCATGGCGGGCCCAAGGCAGCGATAATGATGAGGTTGTGGCTCGCAATCGGCCCTGTGCTGTTTGTTTGTGGGCCGTGAGCTTGACACTGGGCTTGCATGTAGCCGCCTCCCCCGTCCTGAAGCAGCCCTGCGGCTAGCTCGAATATAAGATGTATGGCTCGGCCTCGGGCGCCTCGGCCAAAACAGGCAACGGGCGTATCCTTCCTCCTCCACCTCCGCGTCCACCTCTTCCTCCTATTCCTCCTCCTCCCCTTTCCCCTCCTCCTCCCTCGTTATCATTGTCCTTGCCTCTCTGCCCGAACGGCCCGAGTTTCGGCCACGTTCGCAGGACAGACCTGCCCTTCAGTTGGAGGGTCCACCATTCCCACACGTTATCTGCACGCACTTTCTCCCTCGGCGCCAAAAATGGGATGAGGAGGAGGAGGAGGAGGAGGAGGAAGAAGGAGGCGGAAGAGGAGGAGGAGGAGGATGGAGGTAACCAGAGGAGGAGGAGGGGGGAGGAGGGGGAGGCGGAGGAAGGGAGGAGGGGGAGGGGGGAGGAGGGAGAGAGGAGGGGGGATAAGGGGAGGGGAAGGGAAGAGGAGGAGGACGAGGAGGAGGAGGATGAATAGGACGAGGAAGAGGATGAGGAAGAGGAGAAGGCGGAGGAATATAAGAAGAGTAGGGAGGAGGATGAGGAGTAGGAGGAGCAGGAGGGGGGAGGGAGGGCGGGAAGCAGCGGCAGCAGCAGCAAGCAACGGAGCGCAGCGTCGTCGCCGTTGCCGCTGCTGCTTCCGCCACTGCTGCCGCCAGAGCTGCTGTTGTCAAAGCCGCTGGTGCTGCTGCCGTTGCTCCTTCTCCTGCTCCAGGTCCTTCGCTGCTGCTGCGGCTTCGCTCCTCCTCCGTCCTCCGTCCTCCCTCCTCCCTCTCCTCCTCCTCCTTCTCCTCCTCCGTCCTTCTCCTCCTCCTCCTCCTCCTCCTCCTCGTCCTCCTCCTCGTCCTCCCTCCTCCTCGTCCTCCCTCCTCCTCGTCCTCCCTCCTCTTCCCCTCCTCCCTTGCCCTCCCCTCCCTCCCCCCCTGCTGCTGCTTGCCCCTCGCCCTTCCTTCCCCCGCTGCCCCTGCTGCTCCTGGCCCCTCTCCCCTTCCTTCCCCCTCCCCCCCGGCAGCGCGGCGCGGGGCGCGCGCGGCGCTCGCGGGGCGGCGCAGGGGAAGGCCGCGCCGCCCCCGCTGTGCACCGCCTCCCGGCGAGCCTCGAGGCGGGGCCGCGTCGGCCCAGCGGGGGGGCGGGGAGAGGGGGGGGGAGAGGGGCGGAGGAAGGGGGGAGGGGAGGGGCGGAAGAAAGGCGGGGGAGGGGATGGGAGAGGGGCGGGGGAAGGGGGGAGGGGGCAAGGGAGGGGAGGGGAGGGGCGGAGGAGGGCCCGAAAATCAAATCAGAAAACTTGCGGGCCGCGAATAAAACCTCTTGGCTCCCACGCGAGACAACACGCACGAACAAAATAACGCTGGCTGTTACGTGCGGCCGAAGGAGAGGAAGAGGAGGGGGGGGAGAAAGTGGAGGGGGAGGAGGAGGGGGAGGAGGAGGGGAAGGAGGAGGGGAAGGAGGAGGAGGAGGAGGACGACGATGGTTTTTGTGCACAAGTACAGGTGTCTCGATTTCTTGCCTCATTTTAATGAGGGCGTCTCGATTTCAACGGGACGCCCCAAAATCATGTAGGCCCCGACCGACGAACGGTTCGGAGCGGAGGAAGATAATCATGTCAACGGGCACGATAATGTATTGGTCCAGAACCACGATATCTGGAAGATCCTGCCGTTCACCGCTGAAGCCCCACTGTGCACATCGAGGCCGACTTGGCCATCGTTACGTTGTGGGCAATCCAAAAATCTCCACGCGCGCGGGTCACCATGGCCACCCGCGCGCGCGCATGCGTCTGATTCAGCACATGTAGAAACGACGTGCTACTTTGGGAACCCAAGTGGGTGATCGCTAAGGTTGCACGTTTCATTATCAGGCCAGGGTGACGACATGTTAACTGTGGGCAGTCCAGAACTCTCCGCGCGCGTGCAGGTGACACGTGTCCCCCGCGCGCGTCACTCGGCGACCGCTAAGGGGACACTTGGATCTACGGGCCAGCATGGGGAACGCTATCCTGGAGCAGGCGGGGAAAACATGTTGACTTGAAAAAAATGCGATCGGTCACCGGTAACGGTTCACCTTACTCTCCAAACAGACATGGCGACACCTTTATTCTGGACAATTCAGAGCGACCCGCGCGCGCGCAGGTGGCGCGTGTCACCCGCGCGCGTGGAGAGTTTTGCGCTGCCCACAGTAGAGGACAAGCAAAACAAACATTCTGACGTGGAAATCGAATCGGTGACCGCTAAGTGCCCATTTTATTTTTCCAGGCCAACCTAAAGACCTTAAATTGTGGACAATGCAGACGACACCCGCGCGCGTGTGTGACACGTGTCACCAGCGCGCGCCGCTTGGTCAGCGCTCAGGGTTGACTTGTGTATCCAGGCACACAATGCGAATTTTCCCATTATGGACACTGCACGATTCTCCACGCGCGCCAAGAAATACTGAGTAATTGAGTAGACGGGAGCAGGAGAGAGAGAAAGAGAGAGAGAGAGAGAGAGCGGAGGATGATGATAATGATGATGATGAGGAGGAGGAGGAGGAAGAGATGATGACGACGATGATGAGGATCATGAGAGAAGGGCACAGGAGGAGGAAGAGGAGGAGGCGGAAAAGGAGGAGGAGGAGGAGGAAGAGGAAGAACAGCCAAGTGCCAGAGCGGGAAAAAAAGGAGCAGGCGGTCGCCCTCTTCCTGCCGCGCTGTGCGCCGCCGCGGTGCCACAGCTCGCCGCGCTGCTGCCCAGTCGCCCTCGTCGTCGTCCGCGTCCTCGTCTTCGTCGTCGTCGTCGTTGTCGTCCTCGTCGTCGTCCTCTTCGTCGCCGTCGTCGTCGTCGTCGTCGTCCTCCTCCTCCTCCTCCTCCTCTTCCCGTTTTTCCTCCTCCTCCTCCTCCTCCTCCTCCTCCTCCTCCTCTTCCGAATCGTCCTCGTCCTCGTCGTCCTCCTCCTCGTCCTCCTCGGCGTCGTCGTCGTCCTCCTCCTCCCCCTCCTCTTCCTCCTCCTTATCCGCCTCCTCATAATAGTCCTCTTCCTCCTCTTGCCCCCCATCCGCCTCCCCCTCCTCCTCTCCATCCTCCTCGTCGTCCCCTTCCTCCTCCGCCGCCTTATCCTCATCCCCATCTTCCCCCTCCTACTCCTCCTGTTTGTCCTCCTCCCCCTCGTCGTCCTCCTCCCACGCATACTCCTCGTCATTCCAGTCTGGTTCCTGCACCTACTCCTGCTCCTACCCACGCTCCTCCTCCACCCTCTTGCACCCCCCCCTGCCTCTCCTCATCACAGCCTCCTCCTCCTTCTCCTCTTCTTACTCCACCCCTTCCGCCTCCTCCTCCTCCTCCTCCTCCTCCTCCTCCTCCTCCTCCTCCTCCTCCCAGGCGCCCTGTGCCGCTCAATGTTTCTTGGGTTTGGCCTTGCTCTTGGCCTTTCCCTTGGCCGTGCTCTTGCCCGCGGCCTTGCCCTTCGCCTTGCCTTTGGCCTTTGCCTTGCCGGCGGCCCCGTCGGCCGGCTTGTCCTCCACGCTCAGCTCTCCAGGGGAAGGGGGGGCACCACCCAGTGCAGTTTGTCTTTCTCTTGGCTTTCTCATCTCCCTCCGCCTCCTCCTCTTCCTCCTCCTCCTCCTCCTCCTCCTCCTCCTCCTCCTCCTCTGCTCTTCTTCCTCCTCCTCGGGACAGTGAACGACTGGGTGCAGACATGCGTGCACATCAGCCCCTGAGAGAAACGATTCGCCCTCCCGCTGAAGTCGCACGCGCGCCTTGCGTGCAGGGGCCTCCACACAACTCCAGCTTCCCTCTCACCAGTGGCAGTGGCGGGGGTTCGCTGGATCGGACAGGGTCGTTTCCGTCCCAGGTCGCATCTTTTTTTCTTCAAAAAGTACCAGCAGATATTTGGAAAACGAGAGAATTTTCTCGAAATCGAGAATATTTTCTCGAAAACGAGAAAATCTTCTCGTTTTCGAGAAAATCTTCTCGTTTTCGAGAAAATCTTCTCGTTTTCCACATGAATTCTTGCAAAAAGCAACACCGGGAAGCAATTTCGGCGGACGGTTTGGGGTCCCAGTCACAACGAAAATGACCACTCGTGGACCAGCATTGGTGCCCCATACCGCACGGCGACGACGACCACGGGGTCGACGACGACGACGACGGGGGCGACGACGACGACGACGAGGACGGACGACGACGACGACGACGACGACGACGACGACGGCGACGACGACGACGACGACGACGACGAAAACGAAAAAAACGACGACGACGACGACGACGACGACGACGACGGCGACGACGAGGACGACGACGACGACGACGACGACGACGAGGACGACGACGACGACGAGGACGGACGACGACGACGACGACGACGACGACGACGACGACGGCGACGACGACGACGACGACGACGACGACGACGACGACGACGACGACGACGAGGACGAGGACGACGACGACGACGACGACGACGAGGACGACGACGACGACGACGACGACGACGACGACGACGCCGTCCTCTACGGCAGAGCCCTCTCTGCCGCTCTGGGCTCATGTCACCTTCCCCAGGGTCGGCCTTTCGGGGTGGGACGTTTATGGCGGGCCCCTGGGCCAGAATATGAAACCCCTGACGCGCAGTCAGTCAGTCAGTCAATCAGTCACTCTTCGTCTGCCAGGGGAGACAAATAACGAATTCCCTCCGCTATCGCCGCCTGCGAAGCCCCGCGGGGCGCGGGCTCCACCCCCCTGGCTATCAACTCAGAGGGCCGTCCTCGGGCTATCCAGCCCCCTGGCTATCCACCCCCCCGGGCCAAAAAGGTATGAAAAAATTGTCATGCCTTTTTCTGGCTGCGGCGGCCCCCAGATGTGGGGGGGAGAGGCGGCCGGGCGGGGGGCGGGGGCCAGGGAGGGAGGGGGAGAGGGGGGGGAGGGCGGGGGGGGTAGGAGTCCTGAGGCCGGTTCCAGGGAGCCGGCGGCTCCTGGCTGCCCTAGAGCCGACAAGACACCGATACCGGTACTCTTCGGACCGCATCCTCCTCCTCCTCCTCCTCCTCCTCCTCCTCCTCCTCCTCCTCCTCCTCCTCCTCCTCCTCCTCCTCCTCCCACATCCTCCTCTTCCTCGCCGTCCTGGTCCCTTCCTACCCTCCCTCCTCCTTCTCGCCCTCCTCATCCTCCTCCGCCCCCCTGGGCTCAATTGCGTACCGTTTCTGCTGGTTCGGATGCCCTCTTGGATGCCTCTTGGGGGCCGTCCTGGACGCCTTTGAAGTCATGCGGGGCCCTCCGATGCCGTCACGGAGGCCTTGACATGGCCTCAGATAGTCCACAGAGCGCCTGAGGGCCCCCGTGGGGTTGGAGGGCCTGGATTGGAGTGGAGTGGAACAGCATGGGGCGATCAGCATCAGCATCAGCTACATCGTGCTCATCGCATGCGTTTCTGCATCAGCGTCGCCATCGCCATCATCAGCACGCCGTTGGCTCAAGCATTCTGCTGCCGCAAGCCGCTGTTTTGCTGTCGCCCCTCAGTGCAACATGGCGCCCCGCAAGGCTACGAGCCGCAAGATGGCGCGCGAGCAGACCATCGCGCATTCGAGGACGAGCTCAGCAGCAAATGCAGGAGCCAACAAAGGGAGTCAAGCACGGCAGGAAAAAAACAGGCCCTTGCGGCTGCGCGCGGTTACGGGGAGGACGTCAATTTCGCGAGCGAGCGCATCAGCGGGAGCTTGCCGCTAGCGGAGAGGTCTGGGCAGCCACGCAATCAGAGCGAGAGGGGGCGGGGAGGGAGGGGGCGGGCAACATCTGGAATCCATGGTTTGCGCTACCGATTGCCGTGGCCGCCCAAAAGGGGTACATTCAAGCGTCTGCTTGAGGAGGCCAGCCAGGGGACCAAGAAGCTCGTCGTCGGCGAAAGCCGCGCGGTGGCCCGCTTGGCCAAAGTAGCCGAGGAGATTTTTGACCTCAGCAAGAAGCTGGGCGTGACAATCATCGTAGCGGACTCGCCAGGCCTCTTCGACCACGACGCCTGCCAAGTGCAGGTCTTCATGCGGCGAATTGAATTCGCACGCGTCGAACTGGAAAAAGACTTGGTGAACTACCGATTGAAGGACGGCCGGGGAAACCGAGCCAAGAACATCAAGAAGAGCATCAAGAAGACCAAGCGGCTGAAGCACAAGTTGTCCCCTAAGATGATCACGGCGAGTGGCGACGCCAAAGTTTCGGGGAGGAGCTCCACCCTGGAGAAGGCGGGCGAGCTGAAGCCGAACCAAAAAGTTGCGATCAAGAAGATCATGAAAGAGCACGGTGCTGGCAAAATCGGCCTTCGAACGGCGGCGGCCCAACTCTCCAGCGCGTTGAAATTCACGGTGGGGGGCCAGGAAACAGTGTGCCATTAGGCTGCTGTGCGTGCTAATGACCAGCTCGGCTCCGCGATGCCCATATGGAGTCGTTTGCCTGTCTCGAGACGCCCTAATTAAAGTGGGGCAAGAAATCGAGACACCTGTACTTGCGCACAAAAAAAAATCCTCCTCCTCATCCTCCTCCTCCTCCTCCTCACTCCCCTCCTCCTCCTCCTCCTCCTCCCCCTCCTCCTTCTCCCCCCCTCCTCTTCCTCTCCTCCCGCCTCGCGCAACAGCCCGCGTTATGTTGTTCGTGCGTTTCGTCTCGCGCGGGAACCAAGAGGTTTTATTCGCGGCCCGCAAGTTTTATGATTTGATTTTCGGGCCCTCCTCCGCCTCTCCCCTCCCCTCCCTCGCCCGCCCCCCTCCCTCGCCCTCTCCCCCCCTTCCTCCGTCCCGCTCCCCTCCCCTCCCTCGCCTTCCCCCCCCCCCTCTCCCCGCCCGCCCGCTGGGCCGACGCGGCCCCGCCTCGAGGCTCGCCGGGAGGCGGTGCGCAGCGGGGACGGCGCGGCCTTCCCCTGCGCCGCCCAGCGCGCGCCCCGCGCCGCTCCCGGGGGAAGGAAGGGGAGAGGGGCCAGGAGCAGCAGGGGCAGCGGGGGAAGGAAGGGCGAGGGGCCAGCAGCAGCAGGGGGGAGGGGGAGGGCAAGGGAGGAGGGGAAGAGGAGGGAAGACGAGGAGGCGGGAGGACGAGGAGGACGAGGAGGAAAAGGACGGAGGAGGAGGAGGAGGAGGAGGAGGAGGAGGAGGACGGAGGACGGAGGACGGAGGACGGAGGAGGAGCGAAGCCGCAGCAGCATCGAAGGACCTGGAGCAAGAGAAGGAGCAACGGCAGCAGCACCAGCGGCTTTGACACCAGCAGCTCTGGCGGCAGCAGTGGCGGAAACAGCAGCGGCAACGGCGACGACGCTGCACTCCGTTGCTTGCTGCTGCTGCCGCTGCTTCCCTCCCTCCCTTCCCCCCTCCTCCTCCTACTCCTCATCCTCCTCTCCTTCCTCGTCCTCTTCGTCGTCGTCGTCGTCCTCCTCCTCCTCCTCCTTCTCCTCCTCCCCTCTTCCTCCACTTATCCCCCCTGTCCTCCGCCTATATTCCTATCCTTTCCTTCCTCCTCCTCCCCTTCCTCCTCCCTCCCCCTCCTATCCTCGTCCCCCTTCCCCCCCATCCTTCTCAGGTTACCCCCTCCTCGTCCTCGTTATCCTCTCATTATTCCTCCTCCTCCTCCTCCTCCTCCTCCTCCTCCTCCTTCTCCCATCCTCCTCCCATTTTGTGTTGTCGAGGGGGGGCGCGCAGACAGCGCTTTGGAGTGATGGGCCCGCCAGCTTAGCGGCAGGTCTGTACTTCGAACGTGGCCGAAACTCGGGCCCTTACTTCGGGCAGGAAGGTGACGATAATGGCAATGAGGGAGAGGGGGAGAAGGAGGAGGAGGAGGAGGAGGAGGAGGAGGAAAAGGAGGAAGGGGAAGGGGAGGCCCGTCGACTGTTTTGGCTGGGGCGCCCGAGGTCGAACCCGAGATTCTTACGTATTTAGATTCGCGCTAACCGCAGGGTTGGTGGGGGACGGGGGAGGCGGCTACATATAAGCACGCTGCCAAAGTCACGGCCCACGGCAATATGTACATCGAGCGCGCAGGAGGCCACAGCACAGGGTTGGGGAGAACTCCAAATGGCGAGCCAAAACTTGATGTTTGTCGCTTAAGGGCGGGTCGCAGCGAGGATCGCGGGCAGGTCGTCGGGCAGCTCGCGGGCAGGTCGCGCGGCGGGTCGCGGGCAGGCCGCGGCTCGGGCCGCGGGGCGACGACGACCAGACAAAAACAACACTCCGCATCGTGGATTCTTTGGTCAACTACGCACCTGGGGACAGTGTAAAACAGTTCGGCCCCCTCGCCCTGACGCAGTGTTCCGCGTGGTTGCGAGAGGAGGCGCCCCGCGAACCTGACTCTGGATGCGCCTTCCTCTGCCGTGGTTCGATTCGAAAAATACGCGCTTTGTTTCAGCGCGCGCTGGGCGACGAATGAAGCAGTCAAAAAGTAGTGCGGAAATTTCCGCCGTACTTTCGTGAGGCGGCAATTTTCCGCATTACTTTTTCGCCTCTCTCGGGGTGCATTTCCGACGCAATTTTAAGTCGGAGAATCAACCAAAGTACCGCGGATCCGGAGTCAGGGTAGTTCCACAGAAACTCCCTCAAACTATTGCGCCGACGGGACTTCTAGTCTCCCTGCCAGATACGGGCTCCAACCTGCCCTGCTTGAGGCCCTCCCTCAGGCGAGGTAATCGTGATGCCTCCGCCTTTACCAACGCACCTGCCCATTCCCCAGCCTTCAGGAATGGGCATCGTCGGATTCCGCGGGCAGTCCAGTCGAGTCGGGCGGCGGCACCCATCAGCGCTCTTGGCGCTGCGGCGTGCGCCGCGAAACGTATCACCAGACGGAGAAGGAGCGGTCAGGGAGGAGGACGGAGGAGGAGGAGGAGAAGGACGGAGGAGGAGGAGGAGGAGGAGGAGGAGGAGGAGGAGGAGGAGGAGGCTCGAGACTCCAGACGCGGCGATGCCCGCGCGCGGGGGCCAGGTCCACAAACAGACGCGACACGGCAGACGGCACAGCGACGACGCGCCGGCGAAGCAGGCGGCGGCGACAAGGGGAGGAGGAGGGAGCAGGAGGGGCGAACAGGGAGAGGGAGGAGGATGAAGCAAGGGGAGCGGCAGCAGGACGAAAGAGGAAGAGGAGGCGGAGGAGGCAGGAGGCGCGGCCAGGAGGGGGAGTTCGGAGGAACGAGGGAGGTGGTGGACGAGGGGGAGGAAGGAGGGCGGAGGAGGGAGGAGGAGCGATCCGGGAGGAGGGAGGAGGAACGACTCGGGAGGAGGAGGGGGCGGAGAGAGGAGTCCTTGAGGTGCAGGTTCTCGCGGATGTGCTCCTGGGCGCCGCGCCCGGCTCGCGCTGAGCCCCCCCCTCTCGCCTTTCAACCCTTCCTCTTCCTCCTCGACCTCCTCTTGCTCCTGCTCTTCCTCCTCCTCCTCCTCCTCCTCCTCGACCTCGTCCTCCTCGACCTGTTCCTCCTCCTCGTGACCTCCACCACCATCACGATCACCATCACCATCACCATCATCATCATCATCATCATCATCATCATCATCATCATCATCATCATCATCACAATCAACACCATCATCCTCATCCTCATCCCCATCATCATCCTCATCCTCATCATCATCCACATCATCAGCCTCATTATCATCACCACCATCATCATCAGCATCACCACATTATCATGTTCATCGTCATCATCATCATCATCATCATCAGCATCATCATCATCATCATCATTATGACCAAACTCATCGTCGTTGTCGTTGTCGGTGTCGTCGTGATCATCATCGCCAGCATGATGAACGTCGTCATCGTTATAATCATCATCGTCGTCGTAATCGTGGTAGCCGTCATCCTCGTCGTCCTCCCCCTTATCCTCCTCCTCCTCATCAACATCATCATCGTCATCATCATCAACACCATCATCATCATCATCATCATCATCATCATCATCATCATCATCGTCATCAGCAACAGCATCACCACCATCATCATCATCTCCTCCTCATAGTCATCAGCACCATCATCACCATCATCATCGTTAGCACTAGCATCACTATCACCATCACCATCAGCGTCATCATCAGCAGCAGCAAAATCAGCGTCACCATCGGCATCAGTATCACCACCACCACCACCACCACCATTATCACCACCACCAACAATATCATTGACATCATGAGCATCCTCATTATCACCATCACCATCCGCAACATCATCATCAGCAGTATCAGCAGCATCATCATCATCAACATCATCGTCAACAGCATCATCATCATCAGCATCATCATCATAACCAACATCATCAACATCCTCATCCTAATCACCATTCTCATCAACATCATCAACATGTCCCTCATCAACATATGCGCCCTTCTCATCGTTCTCGTCATCATCCTCTCATACAGTCATCACCATCATATCTATATTCATCACCATCATCTGAATCATCCTCGTGGTGGTCATTATCGTCATCAGCAGCATATCATCATCATCAGCATCATCACCACCATCAGCATCGTCCTCATCAGTAACATCATCACCGCCATCACCATCACCATCACCATGACCATGACCATCACCATCACCATCACCATCCTCGTCATCATCATCATCATCACCATCATCATCGCCATCATCATCGCTTTCGCGTTTTGCTCTGGACTCGCCCCGGTAGAAAGCACCTGATGCCCATGACGTCACCAAGCATGCTGAGAGCCTGGTCTCGAGGCTGGCGCGGCTACCACGCCCGCCACTTGGCCCAGGAAAACTCAGCGGACCTCCTCGGAATCGAAGCCCTGATACCCGCCCAGAAAACCGAGGCTCAGGCGGGGGGCTCCGCGGGGGTCGTGCGAGGGATGGGTTGCTGGGCTGTTGGAACACGCTGGGCACATTTGCCAGCCTTGAGAGGCCTTGAGCGCACGGATCCTGCCAGAGGCTTGGTGTCTGGGGCACTCCCCCCCCCAAGGTCAGAATTTGACGCCGAGCGCACGCCTCACAAACGCTGCAGCAGACCAGACCGTCGGGCCCCAGAGACCGCCGCAGCCACCGCAGCCAGTGAGAGCGGTGGACCTGGTCAAGCTTGCCAGGCAGTCCGGGCCAATGGGGGGTGCACGACTCGGCCCCGAGACTTGCGTCTCTTACCGACCCGCTCGGAACCTCAACTGATGCCCAGTGGGATCCGACACGACCTCCAACGGGCCAAACGACTGGCGCAAGCGAGGCTTCGAGGCATCAGGGAACGCGGCGGTCGCCAGATGGCCTGGGATCCGACTGGTGCGCAGACAGATGAAGTACGAGGTCTACCACGTCAGAAGCCAATGTGCCGCGACGTGTCGTTGACCATTGCGCCCCTCTTCGACACGGTATCGGCGAGCTGAGTCGCACGAAAGTCTAGCCAGGGAGCTACCCCCTCGCGCCTGGGCCTCCTTCTTAGAAGTGTGCGAGGGTGTCCAGGTCAAACCGTCCTGGCCAAGTCCTACATCACGCAGGTTAAACATATGGTGGACCAGGACTTCTGAATCCATAGTCGCGATGGGCGACAGCACGCACGTGGCCCCCGCTGCAACGCCATCCACGATAGCCGCGCCACCGCAAACGACCGCCATGTGCCCATGACCGCGGCAACGAACCGCGCAGAAGGCTCACAGCTGGGGCAAACCAGTCTCCTGAAAGGGCGTCCTCTTTGAAACTCGGCGGCGGGCAAACCTCCCTTTGGTAGACCTCCCCTTAGTGAAAACGGCCTGGGACCGAGACCAACGGACCTGGACCCGCAACACTGGCGGCCGCGACGCCCACCCGCGAACCGAAAACGTCCAATTCCTTCATCGACGTGTCAGGGTAGGAAGTCTGCCCACCCCCGCTCGGGGAGTGGTGCAGGAAGGGGGGGGGCTCCCACCGAGCTCTGGTCGCGGCTTCCTGGTAGTCGTGCCGCGGCGTCGGATCTCGGGGCTGGTCCCCGACAGCGCCGTGCAGGTCCCCGTCGGGCCTCCCCCGCGATCCGACGGCGCGATCGCGAGGGCCCGCCGGCGCACGCGGCCATCAAGATCCTGCCCTGGTGGCGTGGGCAAGAGCCGGCTCAGCGGCCGACCCGCCGGTGCCCGCGAGCCCCGAGGTCGACCCTCCGGGCGCCATGGCCGCCGGCGCAGCCCGCCCCACGGAACCATGAGGGGGGGGGCGGGCGCTCCAGGGCGGGCGAGAGAGCTCGCCCACCCCCGACGGAGCAGGGTGTCGCACCCCTCGCGTTCCTCTTCCTCTGCGGTCCTCGGGGCTCGCGCTTCACCCTCCCAGGCCCGCTGAGCTTCGCTGGCTCCCTCACCACCGCGCCTCCAGCAGCGATGACGTCGTCGGGGTCCCAGCAGTCTTGGATCGCCGTGGTGAAAGTAGCCCGTGTGCCACCGCGCCCAACCTCGGCCTCGTAGGCCTGGCACCACAGTGGATCGGCAGCCTCCAGCACAATCAGACGCTCCTTTTTCCAATGCCATCCGGGAGCGTGAGCGCACAACAGCTGGGCCGCCGTCTTG